GATTGTGCTATACCGGTGTTACGAAACCTAATCTGCCTCCTTGGTTGTTTGGGTGTGAGTTGACGGATTGCCATGTACAGTCTACGTGAATCATGTCGAACAGCCGCCTGAGTTGCTTCTTGAATGACTCGTTGAACTTTGGATTTACGAAGATCTTGACAGTGCTTACGTAGTCGAGTCCTGAGGAGGGGGAACTTGGCAAAATGACTCCACGCACGAAAAACTTGTGATTGCATCGACTGGCGGAGATGCTGAGAGTTTCGCGCCAAATGAAGGTGTCTCCACTTCAAGGCAACCAGAGACCTGGTGCGTGGATGGCACCATGCAGGTTCTGATTTAACATGGGTCTTACGAAAGTGCTCATTACAGGCATGAACTACTTTATTAGTTACAAGGTGCGGTGGTGTACGGTTCTGTGCCGCCTGCCTCAGTTGATCGCCAATCTGAGTTTCAAAGATCTGCCACTGGGGAGAGCATGTCTCCCAATCCTGACGCAATCGTTGGACCGTGGCATGGGACAGATGTGATCGCATCCTGGGCGGCTTGCTGTACCAGGCCTTCCAACTCAATGGAATGGTGGTCACAATAGGATTATGATCAGGGTACTCTCGGTGCTGGTTCAGGGGAAAGCACCTGAGGCATTGGGCTTGTCGTGACATCTGATCAAGCTGAGGGCGACGGGCAAAGATGTAGTCAATGTTAGACTCACCGGCCGGACCTATGTAACTAGGATACGAGTCATGAACCCGAACGGAGGCTAATGAAAAAACGATCAACCACTGCCTTGAAGCTGTCGCAATCTGGAAACTGAGCATCTGGGACATGTCGACGGGTCGTGGACCCCAGCGTGCAGTTGAAGTCACCTGCAACAACCAACAAGTTTCGAAAGGGAAGCTTGTTCAATAAGTCCTCCCAGGCATGCCAAAAGTTCAAACGCGCTTGAAGGGGGTCAGGTCGAAAGCGTGCTGGGTTGTTCGGGTGTTGATAGCAGTTTACGAGATCAAGAGTAATGGTGCCAAGATTACACCTGATATGTTGCAACCTGCCTTCAAGAACTGTGACATGGCTAATGGAGGCTGATGAGCAGAACTGCGAGCGGACAACGGTAAGTAGTCCATCATGTGCTCCAGCCTGATTGGGCGTTGGGATGAGAGCAAACCCGTGACTCTCCCACGGTTCAGCGATGCCCCATCTGGTGCCCTGAATGAAACATATATCGATCCTGTGCAATGATAGCCAGGTGAGAAGTTCATTGTATGATTCTGTTGATAGACCTCCACAATTCCATGTCATGCAGCTTAGTCGCGGGCCCTTGGCCTGTGATGGTCTCGGACCATTCCTCTTCGAAGAGGAGTGAACTGCAGGTGCCATTGGAGGCTGAGTGTGAACATGTCCACGATAGATGCAAAAGCCAGTTTGGAGCAATCTCCTCTGGGCTCGAGCGAAAGATCTCTTAACTGTGCGGCGTGAGGCCCTCGGTAAGGTCCCTGAGGACGCTGCATGCCCTGTTCCATGTATTTCAGGGGTATCTGACAAAACCGAAAGACACGTATCCCTTTCCGAGCGGTTCATGGACACCGCTCTACCCTCACCCCTCCCGCTCCAAAGGTCACAGAAAAACTCTTCTGTTTGATGCGCAAGAAACTCTTCATCGTGAAAGGCAAGCATCAGAGCGGGTCCGGACTTGGGACCGGATAGGTACAGCCGTGCAGCTATCGTCGAAAGGAGCAGCAGAAAAAACAGGTTCCAGTCCATGGCATGGACGACGGCCGTGCTCCGCTGATGGAGGGCTGCAGTGCACAGCTTGTACCAAAGGGGCTTCAAGGACGCTCTAGGGGCTCCTGGCCTAACTTCTAGGAGCAAGGACGCTCTAGGGGCTCCTGGCCTAACTACTAGGAGCAAGGACGCTCTAGGGGGTCCTGGCCTAACTACCAGGAGCAAGGACGCTCTAGGGGCTCCTGGCCTAACTACTAGGAGCAA